TCCTTGTCCCAATTTACTTCTCGCACCCCCCGTCTAACTTTTGTCTCCTCTGCATTCGAATCAGGTAGCTGCCTCCTCCATGCTGCCTGGGTACCCAATTTTTTTTTAAATTTAGCCTGAGGCAGACACCTGGCATGAAAAACTGTAGTGCAATTAAAGTTTGGTAAAGGTACAAGCAACTGAAAATAGGGCCTTGTAATGGGAAGTAGGAGGTGTTGTCAGTCTATCTGAAATATAGTGTTTATCATTACTGGCAAGTATCAAATAAAAACAGAGTAGTGAAGATTTCCAGACATCTCTGTGAAAGCTGTAAATTAAAATCCACAATACACTGCATGGTTAAGATTATTACATAAGACATGACTGCTTCCAATTAAAATGGGGGCTTTTGACAAGTTAGAAGCAGTAAAATTTCCAGTGGCTGCAATGATTCTGGAAATAAATAATCCTGGAAACAGAAGCAATTTAGGTGCCTGTAGCTAGGCATAGCACATTTTCAGAATCGCAGCAGTTGCAAAAAATTATACATCCATTTTGAATATTTATGCCATAATTGATTTTCAAATTGTTCCAAAGTTTTTGTTCTGTCCTCATGCAAGATTCAGATATTTAAATACCCCGCCCCCCACACATTACAGTTTAATTGGAAAGTGTGATACTAGGAACATATTCAAAGGAATTTCACATCTTGTATTCTTCACTTCTCCATGGAACCTAATCTTCTATAACAAATTTCTGTTATTCATGTCAGACATCTTTGAAACTGTATGGAGTTTTATTGTATTGACAGTTTGCTCATACCCCTAGCCAGCTGATTATGCTGTAATGATGGTGGAATGCTCTGCCTACTAAAGCAGCAAAAGAACCAGCCCTCAGGTGAGGGAAGGGCTGCAGAACCAAGAAATGAACAAATTATGGGGGAACAAAAAAAGAAAAATACATGGATGAGGTTTTAGGTCATAGGGTCAAAACATAGATCCAGTGGGAGACACTGAGCAGAGAACCCCAAACAATGCCCATTGTCTGAGGAGTACAAGAAAGCAGTAGATCCTCCTGCCCATATGTGTGAACTGAGAAAGGACCAGAAAAAGGACCCAGTGTTGCAGAGAACTCCCCACCCTATCCAGCTTCTTTCTCCTGGGCTGATGGATAGCCACTGGTTTAATACTAGGAGGAGGTTGCTGAGGAAGTCTTTGTATTTTGTGGGGCCACAGATGGGAAGTGAGTAGAGGAACAAGTGCAAGGAAAAGATGCAGTCTGAACCTCAGTAAAAAGTGCTGGAGCAGGTGGAAGAGGGGGTGCAAGCTGGCACATTGCACATAATTAAGAACCAGGTTCTCCCTCTTGCCAAAAAAGGTGCAGGTGTCAATGGTTTCAGTGAACCCTAACACCCAAGCACCTGTGCTCACAGCTCCATGGAAAAGCCACCAACCGATATTGCCAGCAGGCCACAGAACCATGGTAAAACAGAAACTAACCCACAAGGGATCCTCACCATTGCAAGGTGGCAGTTGAACCTGTTGCTTGGTCACTCAGGCAGGACATTGCATGAAGATGTGCATAGCAGGGAGCACAGAGCAATAGGGCAAAAAAGAATAAAGGGGGCCTAGTTTGCAGTGTCCCAAGCTAGACATTATCAACTCTATTCCATTCCATTGAAATCCGTAGTTAAACTACTTTTGATTTCAGTACAGAAGGATCAGGGCCTTGTAATTTAAGCTCATTTGGGCATGGAACTATGTTATCATCCAAAGAAAAGTGGCAATGAAAGTACATCATCTTGTCATGATAGACAAAGATGTTAGGGATTTTAGATGTTTCTTTTTCATGAGCTATACACTGAGAAGAGTGTAGGCTTGAAAAACAGAACAAAGCCAGTAGTAGTAATGCAAGCATGGAAGTCATTTTAGTGAATGTGATTACAGCATTTTTGTAACTCCCAACTTTTGTTCTGTTGTAGGTGGAGGAGGTTAATGTTCAAGGTTAAGCTGCTGCTGTTGTCTCCAGCTTTGTCTTGTCAGTTTCCTTCTCCACACTGGGCTACTGTTCTGTACAGAACAATCTTTACAGCTCAGCAGAGGCAAAAATTGAATTGACAGGAAGAATAGCAAAGGAATTATGTTAAATCATTTCCCTCCCAGCCAGTCAATGCATATAAGAGATCCATCCCACTCAGGGAAAGAAGGGAGAGGAAATCCCTATTTCCCTGATCACATATATGTGCGGTGGAAGAAAAACATGATCTTGCAGCCTTCCATCTCATCCTATTAAAAACCCTGGGGGAAAAACAAAGTAAAGAAACAATCTGCCCCTGGCTTAAGCAATGGGAAATGAGATGCTCTTGCCATTGAATTTTCCTCAACACAGTTGATGCACTATACATTGCTCTGGGGACAAGAAAAGAGCCCTTGCATAATTGGATACACATGTTGAACAGATAAGAGTGTTCCTCCTATGAAAATGTGTCATTTCTTCAACAATATATGTCTAGTGTCACCAGGTGGCAATGTTATACATAATTGTCCAACTTCTTTTTCTAAGGCTGTTTACACTTAGGGGTGTAGTAGAATAAAGACACTACATCTGTAGCTACATGCTGTGTCCATGCTTTTCACTGTGATGCATATCTACACATGGCAGGGAAAGTCTCTGGCAGCTCCCTTCTGCCACAGCATTTTATTGTGGTGGGGAAAAGTCTTTGGCAGTGGGGAGACAGGAGGACACTAGCCTGCTATAAAGCAGTGTAGAAATGGAAGGCACTCCTTGGACATGTAGGGAGCTGTGTACAGTGCATACGCAAGGGGTTCTGGTGTGTAGGGCACCCTACTCACCAAAGCTATGCCTCATTGTCTACGCTGCTATTTATACCTGTGCTAGTGAGGTGTGCAGTGTATGTACTCTGCACTCTGCCATAAAGGCAGATGCACCTTTAGAGTGTGAGCAAAATATTCAGTTTTGGGAAGATATGCTGTATGGTGATGTTAATTTTGTTATGCTAAGTTTTGGGTCAAGGACTGTTTGAGCAGCAGTTCATTCTCTGTCTTGATCTGTGACTGGAGTAAATTCTTGAGGATGAGATGATCCTTGGGATTGAGGTATTAAGATGATATTCCTGAAAGTATTACCTGCTTGCTGTTTGTGACCATCTCTGTTCTAGGACTGGTGTATATGTCTAAATACATCTAAATAAAATAACCTCACTTTGCCTTACTGAATTCTCCTCCACTGGGAAGCTGTCCTGCAAGGCCCCGGCCATCTGTTACTCCTTGGCAGAGGGGCAGAAGTAGGATTTTTTTGTTTTTAAAACCTCTGCAGAAACAGGTTCCTGCCAGCTAGAAGAGAGCAAGATATACTGGGCAGCTGTCATTTGCTAAATAGCCACACAAGGACTACAGGTGCTTTGCTCTGCCAATTAAAAGGGTTAGCACCAGAAATGCCTGACTTCTATGAAAGTGCAGCTCTGAAGCAGGAAGAATTAGTAGGGACCAGGAAACTGCTAGGGAAGGTGTTGGGTTTGCTATCACATATGATTTTAAAAGTGGAGTCGCTGGATAGTGTTTGAAGCAGCTAACCCAGATATGATATTGAGGCCTCTAGGCGCAACTGTAAAACAAGTATCAAGGATTTGTGATATCACTAGAACTTGATGGATCAAAAAGATTCAAGGATGGACAGTTTCTAGGCAACTGATAAGCGACTTTCCAAAATGAAAGGACTTTTGGCTATAGTTTTCTTGTACTCAATGCTAGTTTCGGGTGGCTATAAAGGGACTGCAAATAAACTGTCTTTTTCAAAAGTGGTCACATACTGGATAGGAGGACAATAAAATAAGACAGCAGGAACTGTTATAAAACATTAACACTATTTCTCATAATGATGTAACCAGGATAATTGGTGTAAAAAGATGGAAGAGCAACTCATATGTATGTAACATACATAATAAAAGGAAACATTGTAGACATAGCAGAAGCACTATGTGTATTTGCAGCAGTAAAGCCAAAATAGAAGAATATGTTTGGAAATGCTAATTTAAAACTAAAATGTAAATCTTAGCCTTTAAATGCAAGAAGAAATATTTGTGACCTGTAAAGTGACTGATAAACATGATAAGATAGCCATGCATGGTATTATGTAGAAGACAGAAATAAAAATGGAAATAATTTGAAGAAAATCTGGCAAGGATTATAATGATTCAGAAGAATTTACAAGCAACAAGCAGCAGTGTTCTGTGTGTGTGTATGTGAAAAATTCCTAAGTGAAAATAAAACCCAGTTCTTTAAACTGCAGACCCAGGTAAACAGTGCCCTAACAACACATCCAATTAAAAACGGAACATAAATGTTGACAATTTGTTTAGAAAAAAAAGTTTTGAAAATGTTTGACGAGCTCTGCTTATTAAACGCATGTTATTACACTCATCACCGTCATGCCTAGATGCCATACGAATAATTAAGAGACACTAATTCGGTATTCAGGCTATTCAAAGTTCACTCCCAAAGTTCATTTCCAAGGGGAGTTCAGTGTTAATAGCTTAGGTTAAGTGTCACCTGCCATTGGCCTTATTGTATGGAGGCATATGCAAACAGATGCCACGTGCATTGTGCTTTAAAGTTAGAAAGGCTGCCTGATCTTTGTGTCAGAGAGTTCCCACTTTTAGCAACTGAAAACTGTACGTTCCCTAGAGAGGAAGTTATTTTCGGGAAGAGGATGGGATGGATTCCCCCTCTCCCCTACAAATAAATCACCGAGGAGGAGCACCCTGACAAATAGCAGGGAACAGCCAGCTCCCCTCCCGCGGTGCCATTCACCACCTCCCTCCCCCGCCAGTATGTGACTGGCTCCGGGGGGGAATGGCTCCGCTGGAAGGGAACGCGTGCGACAGTCGGTAGGAGCTGGTGACAGGGTTGAGCTCCTACTTTCATGCAAATCTCCCCGCCCTCGCAAGCCAACGCTTGCGGTCCCCCCAGCCCGGCAGAGCTCGCCCCGCTGCCACAGAAAAATCCCCAAGCTTCCCCGACTTTCTTCGCGCTCTGCCTCCAGGTGTCGTAGCCTCTGCCCTCCGGGCAGCAGCGGGAGCAGGGCAGCGGCCAGGATGAAGGCGGCTTTGAAGGTACTGCGCCCGGGCCGGGGATGCTCGTGGACCAGACAGGCGCTCTCCCGCCTGGAGGGAGCCGGCTCGGGGCGGGGAGCGCCGGGAGGAGGCTAAGGCGGGGAGAGGAAAGCCTCGGGTGAGGCGGGAGGTGCGGACCCCAGGTGTCCCGGGAGAGAAGCGGGAAGCGAAGAACTTGGCGCCGTGCGGTGGGGTTGGGGCTTAGCTGTCTTGAAGGGAGAAACGACGCGGTCCAAGGGCGGGGGTGAGATCCCTGGCTGGCGGCTAGAGGGAGGCGGGCACCTCAGCCCTCTCCGGACACTTGGGAGCCGGGCCGGCTGCTGCTCCGGCGGCCGCCGTGTGGTGGCTCATGGCTGCGCCGCCTCCTCCCTCCCCCCGGGCTCGCAGCGTGCGGCTCGCTGACCGCCGCCTTCAGTCCGCAGCCAGAGCCAGCAGCGGCGGCGGCGGCACCTCGGCTGGGCTGGGCTCCCCCCTCGCTGTGGGCGTCTCGCCGCCTTTTCCTGTCTGCATCCGATTCCTCCCCCGCCCCCCGCCATTTTCACCCGGGAGCGGGGGATCTGCACCGCGCCTGGGGCTCCCACCAACTTTTCACGCCGCTGTGTCTCTCTGCCTCTCTCCTCCCCGCCCCTCTCTCGCCACCCCTGCTGCTGCTCCTGCTCCTGCGGGAAGTTTTCCATGAGCGCCCCTCCGGTGATCCGGCCGCCCAGCCCTTTGCAGCCGGCGGCGGGGGCTGCTCCCGGCGGCGGCATCTCCTTTCACCTCCAGATCGGGCTGAGCCGGGAGCCCGTGCTGCTGCTGCAGGACTCCTCGGGGGATTTCAGCCTGGCGCACGTCCGGGAAATGGCTTGCTCCATCGTGGACCAAAAGGTAAGAGGGGACCCAGAGGCGGAGCTCCCGCCCCAAACTCTGCACCGCTCCCAGCTCGCGCCCTCCGGCGCCTTCGGAAATTCCCCGCTGCCCAGCTGGTCCCCCGCCGCCCGGGGGACTCGGCACCGGGGTGAAGACAGTGATCGCGGCGCGAGACTTCCGCTGGCCCTGTTCTCCCCGGCTGGCCCAGTGCACTCGTTGTGCAAGTCTCGCTCGGGACGCCGGCCGGGCCGGCTGGCTTGCTGTTCTAATGGCTCAGATGCCATGCGGGCAGGGCCCGGTTTACAAGCCTCCCCTCCATCAGTGCGCTTTGGAGGGGTGGGGTGGGGTGGGGAGGAAACTGGTGGGGGCTCCGAGGGGCTGGCACCATAACTCCCTCCAGCAGCCTCGGTGGCGGAGGAAACTTTCCACTTTACAAACCGGGAACCAAGCCAGCGGCCAGCGTTTCACTCGGTCTCCTTCCCAGGCAGGCCATGTCCAGCAATGCAGGCGCCCTCTGTCCCCTTGCGCTCTGTGCCATTTGATGCAGGGTTTAACCTTGCGAGCTGACACACTTGTCATGTATTATGTGACACTTTAATGTGGGGCAGCTGGCGTCTCTAGAGGACAGGGGGCGATTTTTCTGCAGCTGGGCGGTAACATGATAGGGAGGGTAAACCTCAGATCTATTGCCCTACTTCCCCATCAAACGCTGCCAACAGGCTAAACAAGCTCTTTTGCCTTATGAAACGCTTGGCTTTTAAAAAGCATTTTGGGGACAAATTGAGCTGGGTGAAAACGGAAGTGATAAGTGGCAGGCGCCAGTCTGTGCAATAAAAGGTATGTGTGGGAGAGGGGGGTCGCTGGAATGAGCTGGTGCTGAATTTCAGCCTTGGGAATTGGCAGGTGACCTCTGTGTAAAATGAGGCTAATTGAATCACTCCCTGTCAACAGCCCTTCTGAGCTTTGTAGTTGTAGAACCAGTGACTAACTGAAGTCCTGTGTAGAATGCTGAGCAGAAATCTTTGTCCCAGGAAGTTATGAAAAGTGACAAACTTTGTAAAGCGGACACAGATTTCCTTGGTTTGCTTTTCATTTGGAATTCTGGTATAATTATTATTCAACTTGAAATCTAGTAAACTTCACAAAATGACTTAAAACTGGTTTCAGGTGTTACATCTGCCATTAGCTCCCTCCACCTCCCTCATTGGTAAACCCACCTAAATTGGCAATCACACATTTTCAAAATAATATTTTTCTCTCTCTTCTGTTGGAGTGTGAAAGACCCACACAAACAGGTGACTCTGACTATAGAGGGAAAAACAGTGAAAATGATGAGACATGGTGTTGTCAGATACCCAGAATAAACTGAAAGAGTAAGGAAACCATTTCTCTCTAATTTTTTCATTATAATGATCTCAGATATAATAGGTAAAATAATTTCAGGCAGGGGTGTGTGTGTATTTTTAAGTTGATGGTCTCACTTTAAGTCTTGGTGTAAATCTTACAAAGTTTCCTTAAATATGGTGAACTTTTCCATTTTGTTTATTACAGTGTATTTAATAAACATGGTTTCAAAATAGTTTGAACATGTCAGCTTGGATTTTTAAATAACTACTTTAAAAACGCATTTTAAGAAGAGGTTATTTGTTTTGATATGCACACTTATTTAATTAAATTCAATATGGAAAACATACCCTTTTGTTTAATATTACAGTGTTTATTTTCAAAGCAATCTGCTTCTGTCCAGCTTTGAAAGTGCTTTTATCCATTCGACCATTCATAACTTATTGTACGGGAAATAATGGAAACGTACCTAGATCATTGCATCCATTGTTCATAGTTTTGTGTCCAGACTAGCATATTTATTTAATCTCTTTGAATTATCCCAGTGTGTGATATTTTGTGTCTGCAACATTATTTCACAACAGTATTATGTTGCCTAAAGAAAGACTACTAATTTAAATAAATTGGTTCTCATGTCTGATATACAGTTTTTAGTAAGAACTGGCATAAAAATCTTAAACAGTTATATTTTGTCACCGTAACTTATAACTTCATTTGAAAAAGAAATAGACATTGAGGAATTTTTGTTTGTAGTGTCCTCAAATGTGGATCTCTCTCATTCCCAAGGTCTGTCAGAGCCCCAGTTTGTTGTTCTTCAGGAGATGCTGCAAAGGTCATCTGTTTTTCCAGGCTTTGTGGGGATAGAATAGCCTGAGGAAGGGGAATTGTTGAAGAAAGATAGTATTGTTGCTAGTGGCTTACATCTTTCTGGTAAAGAGTAATTTATAAATTCTTTGTACTGTGGGAATTTTCCCACCCTACAAACACCTACATGGCATAACTTTATTCGCATGAGTAGTCTCATTATACACAATATTATTTGCATGAGCAAAGTTACTCTTTGTTGTAAATATATGTAGGATTGAGGCCTTAGTTTTTCTCTTTTAAAAGATTGCACAAGCATCTCAAGCTATTGGGTAGAATATTTCAATATGTATGTCTAAATTAAATGTCTTCTGTTATCATAAAGTTAGTGTACAAATATATGAAACTGATGGCTGTATACCTGTTGAAAGCACACTAGCAGCAGTGACTACAGTGTCAACATCTTGCAGTTGATTATACAAGAATTCTGAGATTCTTTCAGTTACGAAAGAAATGAAAAAGTATAATAAAAGCTAATCTAACAAAGAACAATTCAACCTTTTATGGAGTAAGTGTCCCCTCAACTCCTTATTTTCTGTATATTTTTATTCTGAACTATTTTATGCTCAAGAGCTTGAAAGAAGGTTTGTTTTTTATTAAGAGTATGTTTTCCTGTTACCTTACCACGTGCTTGTTATTTTTGGAACAGCCTGGAACTGTAACTTGTTTAAATTTTAAGCATTTCCTTATTTTTCATATTACAGGAAATTGTAACTTGCTTGTCAAGGTTAAGAAGGAAATTTCATGGAAGTGACTGTTGTACTGAAACATCACACTGTTCTCAAGTACTTTTGTGCCTGTAAAGTAGGTACCTACTACCTACCAAGCAAGTACTATGATTTATGTAATCTGTTCCAAATTTATACCATGAGGCATTAGACTGGGATCCAGGAGATAAAATTTAAATTAATTTAATTATTCATTTTTGGTTGCCATATTAGACTGTAAAACTCTGTTCTCCCTCTTTTATGGTGATCATAAACTCACTCTAGCTATAGGGTTGCTCACATATGTCTCCCCTAGATTAGGCCACGATCCTGCAGGAAAGTCTATGCAGACAGACCCCTGTGCCTGTACAGAGTCTAACTGAAGTCAGTAGAGCTTTGCATGAATGCAGAGGTTCACTTGTGTTGGGTCTCACTGCAACACTGGTGCCTTTGTCCCTGATCCTGTAAAGATTGATGCGTGTTTAACTCTATGCAATGTAAGTGGCACTATTAAAATAAATGAAACCTCTCACAGTGTATGAAATTAAGCACATGCTTGTAGGATCAGGCCCAAATACACATGAACATGGGGTTGTGTTCATGTATATGTGAGTAATGATAGTATCTGAAATATAAAGATTAAGGTGTTTTGACTTTGTAAGAGAATATGGTTACATTAGCAACTAATAATGTGAATGGCATGGGTAGTGAAGGGAAGGAAAAAGATTGTTGTCAAAAGTGTATTGTTCTGTGTTGGCCACAGAAAGCGCTATTGCATGAGTATCATCCTGAGATAGTTAGATGGAGGGGGGAACATGTTGACCTTTTAGCAACACTATCTCAGCAGGGTGCAATGTTACATGTCAGTTGGCAGCATGAACTCAAACATCTCTAAATCTGTTAAGAACTGCTCTGAAGCTGACTAAGTTGAATCCCCTGGAATGTATGTGGTTCATAGCTAGAACTGCTAAAACAAAATTCTTCAGGATTGTTCACGTTGGGTTATTTGTTCTTCATCTGAGGTGGAGTAAAATCGTCAAAGTGGTGATACAGTTGAAAAGGAGTGAGAATTACCAGAAAATGTCACTACTTGACTTTTAGAATATCTCCTCCATAAGACTGAGAAAATATTGCAAAATTAAAGTTTTGTTGTCTGTAGACACAGAACTTGAATTATTGTCCTTTTGGGGTTTAGCTGAACACAATAGAATGCTTCTTCAGGCTGAGGTTTACGGGAAAGCATATAGCAAAATGCAGCAAGACTATACTTCTTAGTTGTTCTAATCTACCTAATCAGGAAATATCTTCACAATTTTCTTCTACATTTTTTCTTAATGTTTTGGCAGTCATTAAGAAAGTAAGAATCTCTTATTTTGTGCCACATTCTGATAAATACAATGGGGGGAAAAAGCTAAATTTTATTCAAGTTTTCTAATTATCTGAAATTATTTGTTTCTGTTAGTATCTAATGTCTTGTGGTAGTGTGCTGTTGTACTGTTGTTTGATTGAGACAATTCATATATTATTGCAAATAAAAATGCAGCTTATTGGTGGGGTAGTCATAGAAGTTATTGTGTCATTTTGCAAGCTTTCAATCCTCAAGTGAATACATTATTTAGTTCTCTGACGTGAAGATGTGGATTTTTATGAGATATAACTGTTAATATTTTAGCATCAAACACTGGCTGGCTCATCGTTTTTCCCTATGGATGCTATAGGCAGCAGTAGACTGATGGGCGCAACTATTGGTTCCCAGTCTTGTTTCTTCCCAGGCCCACAGAGTTGACATTCCTCAAGCTCATGTGTTGGGCTGTGGATGAACATTCCAGAGAGCTCAGCAGTCATGATGTGTGCCTTGTGTGTTTACTGCACTGCCTCATATTGGATCGCTTCTGGGATGAGTGAGTAATCTGTGTCAGTGATATATGTGAGCCCTCAACTGGCCAGAATATGGGTACAGCTAATGCTACAGAAGGGTTAATTTGTGTCTGTTAAAAAGTGAGGCGAGACAGATTTTGGCCTTTGTATGGCATACAACTTTATTCACGGAGCCTTATAAATATAATCAATTACAACTTTGCAGTATTACTGAATTTCCACAAT